AGTCTCCTGCCTCAGCCTCCCAAGTAGCTGGGACTACAGGCGCCCGCCACAACACCCGGCCATTTTTTGGTTGCAGCTATCATTGTTGTTTGGCAGGCCCGGGCTGGGGATTCGAACCCGCCACCTTAGGTGTATGTGGCTGGCACCTTAGCCGCTTGAGCCACAGGCGCCGAGCCTGCACTGGCATTCTTTTACTAGCAGTGTCTTCCCCCTAGATGTCCGAATGGCTTATCCATCCAACTCAAATGCCACCTCCCCAGCAAGGCCTTGGGTTTCTGCAGTTTCAGCCTTTCTCGTCCACATCGAGTCCCGACACCCTCCACCATACCCTGCTCTGTTTTTCCCATTATCAGTTTCTGAAAGTAGAATTTTCTGTCTTGGTCACTACTGTGTCCTTATGTCTGGAATGAGGCCTGGCATTGAGCAAGTGCTCAAATCCTTGCCTAAAATCACTCAGAAACAGCCTCTTATCTGGTACCTGCCCCTTCCCCACCCCCAGGCAGCTCTTAGTTCATTTGAATGTTCATTGAGTGGTGTGTGGGTGTGCAGGGCAGAGCTGGCTTCCAGTTTCTAGGGACACACAGTTTTGCCCTCACACAACTCACTGAGGTAAGTATGCAAAAAGAAAGAATTTGGGGAGGGATACTGAATTCCTAAGGTGGTGATGTTTGACTGGAACCTGAAGCAGCTGGCCTGAGAGTAGCACGTGACTTGTCTTTTGAACTTTCAAAGTTGATTATTTAATTCTACCCAACTCTGAACCTCCTGAGGAAAAAGACCTGGCTGATCTGTCCCCTGCTATTTCCAGGTTCCTAGGGGTAGTGCCTGCTGGTCCTGAGTAGATGCTCACACCAAGTAAAACTCAGCTGTGGGCTAGTCAGGGCAGACAGAGTGTCCTAGGAGGAAGGTGTTGATCCAAGCCCAGTAGGATTTAAAGAGAGCAGGAACAATAGCCAGTGCAGAGAACAGATCCATCTGACCAGCTCTGGTTTTGGAAGGTTATCCTTTATTTCTGTCTACTCAGGGTGAGAGCACGATGCACACTGGTGCTGATGCTTGGAGGGGGGTGTTTTTGGGAGAGGGTTCAGGGAACTGTGGCAGCAGTATGTTAGGACTGAGTTTAAGAGCCCACCTCTCGGCTTGGCGCCTGTAGCTCAACCGGCTAAGGCGCCAGCCACGTACACCTAAGGTGGCGGGTTCGAATCCCCAGCCCGGACCCGCCAAACAACAACGCCGGCTGCAACCAAAAAATAGCCGGGCGTTGTGGCGGGCGCCTGTGGTCCCAGCTACTTGGGAGGCGGAGGCAGGAGACTCGCTTGAGCCCAGGAGTTGGAGGTTGCTGTGAGCTGTAATGCCATGGCACTCTACCCAGGGGGACAGCTTGAGGCTCTGGCTCAAAAAAAAAAAAAAGAGCCCACCTCTCAGTTCGGCGCCTATGGCTCAAATGGCTAAGGCGCCAGCCACGTACACCTAAGGTGGCGGGTTCGAATCCCCAGCCCGGACCCGCCAAACAACAACGCCGGCTGCAACCAAAAAATAGCCGGGCGTTGTGGTGGGCGCCTGTAGTCCCAGCTACTTGGGAGGCTGAGGCAGGAGACTCGCTTGAGCCCAGGAGTTCAAGGTTGCTGTGAGCTGTGGTGCCACGGCACTCTGCCCAGGGGGATAGCTTGAGGTTCTGTCTCAAAAAAAAAGAGCCCACCTCTCTGTCCTGCTCCCAATCCCTCACCCTTTCCAAGGGCAGAGCCCTTTTAGGGGGGCCCTGCTGGTTGCTCAGCCTTGCTGGGACTCTGCCAGCTGTCCTTGGCCTAGACGACAAAACTGTTTTTTTACTTTTTTTTTTTTTTTGAGATTATGAGTCTCAGCTATGTTGCCCTTGGTAGAGTGCTGTAGCGTCATAGCTCACAGCAACCTCAAACTCTTGGGCTTAAGCAGTTCTCTTGCCTCGGCCTCCCAAGTAGCTGGGACTATAGGTGCCTGCCACAATGCCCGGCTATTCTTTGATTGCAGTTGTCATTGTTGTTTAGCAGGCCCAGGCCAGGCTTGAATCCACCAGCTTTGGTGTACGTGGCTGGTGCCCTACTCACTGAGCCACGGGCACTGATCCTGCTTTTTCACTTCTAAGAGCAGAGTTCCTGGGTTCCTGGAAACCCCTGGAGGAATGCTGGGGTTTAAAAGGGTGGGTTCAAATATGGCCTTAACCCACCTTTGGTGGGACAATGAGGAAGAATCCATTTTTCTCAAAAAGCAGGCTTTCATTTTTGCTGTCTATAAAGGTCCCAAGTGCTTTTTTATTTGTATGCAGTTTTTCTTTTTTCTTTCTTTTTTAGAGACAGGGTCTCACTTTATCAACCTTATTGGAGTACAATGGTGGTGTGATTCTATCTCACTGTGGCCTTGAACTCCTGGGCTCCAGCCTCTGAAGTAGCTGGAACTATAAGTGCGTATCACCATGCCTGGCTAATTTTTGTGTGAGGTGAATGTGATAACTATTATACTATGGAAACCCTGGCTAATTTTTTTTTTTTTTTTTGCAGTTTTTGACCAGGGCTAAGTTTGAACCCGCCAACTCTGACATATAGGGTCAGCACCCTACTCATTTGAGCCACAGGCGCCACCCCAACCCTGGCTAATTTTGTATTTTTTTTTTTCTTTTTGAGACAGTTCTCATTAGAGTAGAGTACTCTGGCGTCACAGCTCACAGCTACCTCAAACTCTTTTTGTTTTGTTTTGTTTTGTTTTGTTGAGACAGAGTCTCACTATGTCATCCTTGGTAGAGTGCCATGTCACAGATGACAGCAACCTCAATCTCTTGGGCTAAAGTAATTCTCTTGCCTCATCCCCCCAAGTAGTTGGGGACTACAGGTGCCTGCCACAACACCCAGCTATTTTGTGGTTGCAGTTGTCATTGTTGTTTAGCAGTCCCAGGCTGAGTTCAAACCCACCTACCTTGGTGTATGTGGCTGGCGCCCTAACCACTGAGCTATAGGCACCAAGCCTAGTTTTTGTATTTTTTGTAGAGATGGGGAAGGGTGGGCTCTTGCTGTGTTGCCCAGGCTGGTCTTGAACTCTTGGCCTCAAATAACCCTCCTGCCTCTACCTCTTAAAGTGCTGGGATTATGAGCATCAGCCACTGTACCTAGCTGTGTTTAAGATTTTATTTTATTTATTTATTTTTTGAGACAGAGCCTCAAGCTGTCACCCTGGGTAGAGTGCCGTGGCATCACAGCTCAGAGCAACCCCCAACTCCTGGGTTCAAGCAATTCTCTTGCCTCAGCCTCCCAAGTAGCTGGGACTACAGGTGCCCACCACAGCCCCCAGCTATAGAATGCCATTTTTTGTATGTCTGAGTAGTATACCATAATATGCATATACCACATTGTATTAATCCATTCATGTACTGATGGGCCCTTGGGTTGTTTCTATGTCTTTGTGATTGTGAATTATGTTGCTATAAACATTGGAGTGCAGATACAGCTCTACTTCAAAAGTATTTTTAAGGTTGGGTGCTTGTAGTTCCGTGGTTAAGGTGCCAGTCATATGATCCAGGGCTGATGGGTTAGAACCTGGCCATTTTTTGGTTGCAGCCGTCATTGTTGTTTGGTGGGCCTGGGCTTTATTTGAACCCGCCAGCTCAGGTGTATGTGGCTGGTGCCTTAGCTGCTTGGCCACAGGTGCC